AAGAAGCAGCAAAACCCTTGTCTTGAGAGATGTGAAGAACGGATAAAGAAGCAAAATCATTCTGCAGCCTGGTTCAGACCTTGTACCTGCTAGATAGGCCAGCTCTACCAAGAGGGTAACCTGATCTCTTGGCTGCTGGTGTACATGGGGCTTTTTCCTTCTAAGCCAGCAAAGCAGCAGCACAGGCTGGGGAGGTCAGCTGTGTTTGATTCAACCATGACATGCACGACAGCCAAGGGGCTGCTCTCAGGCCCCAGCAGTGAGCCCAGCCGGGAGTGCAGTTTTGTTATTGTAGCCGCAGGCCCACTTCCAATCCAATTACACACAACAGCTGTGCTACCTCCTCTTTCCCATCCCCTTTTCTCCCTCTGCTATGTAATTCCAGGATAGGTTTTGTCACTATCAGGGGCAGTGAGTCAGGTTGAATGGCATCTACTTTGAGTGATCAAAGGAATAAGAACATGAGATAGAAACCAAAGAGAAAGTATGGTTTTTTTCACTATTGCTTCCACAGACGTTGGGGTAAACAACTTTCTCCTTTCACTCCCAGCAGAAACTGGGAGTTTTCTGCCTTCTGACATTGTGTGGCATTCTCCTGTAAGTATTTGCATAGGAACAGCTACAAGCATGGCGGTGTTTGAAAACAAACATGCAAGTGTTCACAAAGATGGCCACATGCACAAGAGAATGTGAGAGTGTATGTGCAAGACCTGAGAATGACTGCATTTCATCCTATCCACAAAATGTGTATCACTGCAAATCAGAGCACCTGGTCAAGTAGGTGCAAAAGTTGGAAAAATAACTGGTAGACATGGAATACAATTCTTCAGCTTAGAACAGATATCTCTGACAATATATATGATTGAGATAAAACCCCAATTGGGACAGAGCAGGTGAACAGGAAATGTATTTTTCTTTATTTGTGGGAAACAAAAAATAGGAGTCACTGAATGAAATTCTCAAGTAACAGGTGTAGAAGCAACTGAAATAAAGTATGTTCCATATTTCAATGATTAAACAATGGGACTTGTTATTACAGGATACAGTGGAGTTAAAAAATACAAGTAGATTAAGAAAAACAAAGACTGGATATATCCAGAAAAAATATGCCCGTCAATGACTGCAGAACACAATCTGGATGCAACACCAGGTCTGAAAGTCCTTAAAATAGTAATTACCAGGAAACACCAATGTATTGAGACAAGACATATTCTATCATAGCTTCTTAAACTTCCTCCAAAGCATCTACTTTCATAAAAGGCACTTCCAGGACAGATAAATTCTTGCTCTCACCCCAGTGATTACTACTGCCATATTTTTGCAAATGGGTTTGCATGCAACTAAAAACATTCACATTCCAGTGTAAGAAAATAACATTAGGGGATAGTACCTGTGTAAAGGGCATGCAAGGATGAAAATAATGGTGACACCTATGAAGAACCTAAGCTCATACATACTGGCTTCAAACTCGTAATGAGCAGCACTGACAATATGGCATAGATTCTGACATATGGCATAGACTCTGACCTAGTACCTTCTGCAAACAGGAAACTTCAGATGGGCTGAAACCCATCATTTTCATGGCCCAAAACCAGAGTTGTTCTTTAAGGAAGCAGAAGCCAGCATACAGGTACTGCTTAAATGACCCAATGACATGGAGTAAGGGACACCAATTATAACAGCAGACCTGAGATGAAAAAGGGAAAGAAGCATTTAAAGATGGCATTTGGAAGATCAAAGACCTGGATCAAAAATGTGCTAATATGTTTATGCTTTCATTAATCTCAGCATCTTCATGAAGGACTTGTTCAGGTAAACAAAGACTGGTTTTTCCTCTGGGAACTACCTAGTAATGTCTACTTGGTTTTGTCCATTCAGTTGTATGCAAACACTAGTCAGCAGTAAAATCATGACAGCCAAATGTCCAGAACTTAATCTCTTGGCCTCCTCCCATAAACATTTAAAAATCTCTCCCACAATAGGAATAAGCATGGTATGACTAGGAAAAGCATTTAAACTGTTTAAACTGACACCCCCCTCCCCAGGTATCAGTAACAGCCTCCATAATATCAAGGAACCATATTTAGCTCTTTCTCCCACATATATTCTTCCACAAAAAAAAAAAAAAAAATTAAAAAAAAGAAAAAAAATAAAAATAGTGAGACAGGAGCATTCTCTTGGATCTATTGGTCTTTTTCCAACTACTTACCTTTCAGAATCTATACCACTGGTAAAGAATAGAAGGTGCAAAGAAAGAAACAGATACTGTGCAGAAGTGACAGAGGCATTCATTCTGGTCTGTGCTGCATGCCACTTGCCAGCCGTAATATTCAGCCCCAGCAGTCAAACCAGGTTGTGAACGTGAGCTGAGGCTGTAGCTATAACCCCAAAGGGAAAACTTAAGTACTGAAAGAAGGTACTTCTCCTCTACTTGACACATCAAGTCCATGACCCAGCCAAGTGCAGACAGCAACAATCCCAACTCCAGGGCGCTCTTCAAAATATGGTGTTGTTGTTTTATAACTGAGGCATTCGATTTGCAGGAAAGGTGGGGTGACATCTGACAAACTTCTTTTACATGTGAAATGAGCCAGATGGGATCAAGTTGGCTCTTGAAAAGAGTATGGCAATGAGACCCAGTTGCTGGGGTGCCCTTCTTCACAAGCAGAGACCTCACGGCCAGGAAAGGCTTATACTACACATTTGTTTACTTGAAAAATAAACTTTTTTGCACCTTGGAGTAACTGAACCTGCAGAACCCTGTGGTGCCCACTGCTGCCAGCCCCAGCATATTCACAGCTACCTCCTCTTAGTGGGGAATTAGTTTGAACCAGTCTATTCAACAATAATGAATACTTATTTAATCAATGGGCTCTTTACAACCCTTCTGCTGCCTGTGGGTAGTTACCACAAGCACATAAAATCCCTAATTTGTCTTTCAAAGAGTAGATGGTTAAAGTAACCATTTTGATAGGGGCCTGAGGCTCTGTCCTTGCAATATAGATAGCTGGATGACCAAATAGGTAGAAAGTGTCTGCATAACTTGGCAGAAAGAGAAGTGTAGACCCAAACCCCACTGGAGGTCCATGGCACTGCACAATCCCACAGCAGTGTCAGCATACCCATGAAGGTGAGACAAGCAGAGGGATGAGAGCACCCAGGAGTAAACAGTGACAGAGCCTTGTAATGAGGTGTGGGTAACTGTCAAACTGAAAATATACAGATGTTTGAGAGAACACATGAAAAAGAATTCATATGTCACTAGAAATCCACATAAGAAAACACACAGCAGTACTGAAAACAACAACATGTGTATGAGCAATGGGAAGAAGAAAAAATGCACACCTAAGCACATAAATCATGAGACTACAGGGCAATAGGGCAGAAGAGCACAGTCAGAGAGCAGAAGGATGGACCACTCCACGGTGCCCATACTAACAGCAGCAGAGTCCTGCACTGAGTGTGCCACCTCTGCCTGGGCTCCCACCAGTGATGCTATCAGCTCCTGTACACCAGAAGATGTCCCTGATATTATTTGAGGCTATGCTCATTACTGGCATAATATTGTGTGTTCTACTGGTAGAGCATAGCAAGGCCATGCTTTCCCAATTCACTCATCCTCCTCTGCCACACACATCAACATCTTCAGGATGCTGTGGAGGGACTTGTAATTCGAAGCCTGTGGTGCATGTCCTGTCAGACCCTGCCAAGACAAGAGGAAACAGGATTTGCTGGACACCTCAGACTGGGGCAGAGCTGGTACAGCTTCAGCCTCATAGATAACTGAAAAGATTGCAGGTCAAAGTTAACAGACCCTTTCTTCCCAAAGGGTGCCAGGTGACATTTGCCATTCGGCCACTTCCGTTCCCACTGCCATCAGTTGAGATGCACACAGAATGCAAAAGTTCTCAGCAGAACAAAAAGGCAGCTGATGAGAGAAGCTGAAAGGCTAAATATGCCAAGAAAATACCCAAGTGATGGGCCCTCCCTGCACCACTCTGAAGTGATGCACAAGATCTGATTATCCAAGTGTAGAAAAGAAGCAAATTGAACAGAGAACATATTCCAGGTCCAGACAACTCATTCCACATTAGGTTTAGCAAAACTTATGCAGGAACCTGAGAAGGAAAAAAGCTTTCACTTGCCCATCATCCCATTCCAGCCAGGGCAATGTAGGGTGCTTTCTTGGGCTCTCATTTCCATTTCACATAATGATAAAGCAGGTGGAACTGCCCAAGTGTGAAGTAAAAAATAATTTCTAAAGTTTCATTGGCAACAAAATGTGGACTAGAGTAAAGTAGCCTAGCCCATCTAATACTTGTAGCTGAAGTTGGGGGACCCTGATCCTGTCAACGATGAGCAGCAATCTGAGGAAGGAGGTTTGGAGTTCTCTGTGGTAACATATGCTGTTGTGGAAGAACTGCACATATCAACAAGCATGTGAAACACACATTCATTTTTCCTTTTAAATCATTTGTGCCCTAGTGGGAATAAAATTTTGATACCTAAATAAGATCATATGTTCAGATTCAGCCAAAAATATACTCAGTGGTTTACAAAAATGTAAAATAAAACAACAACAAAAAACCCTTTTGTTAGTAGAACTGAAATTCAACATGTTATCAGTGGGAGTAGCAAATGGAGTAGACTGCAGTAGGAGAAAGAAAATGACTAAACTAAATTTTTACGCCAGACTACACACAGATGTATGAGAAATAAATAGTATATAATGCAGCTCTCAATGTCAGGTTCAACTAGCAATACAAGCAACCATTCTCAATTTAATTTTCATTAAGAAAGCATCCCTTTAACTGACCAATACAATGTAGTCTCTGAAGAGGGAAGTTTGTGACCTTGGCTATGATGTAGGCCTTCTTTCAGCAAAGTATGTGCAATCCAGACCTCATGACATCCAGCAGGAAGCAGGATGAGACCTGCCTTGGTAACTTACCACCACTCCTTGACGAACAGCCTTTCAGCTCAGCAAAAATAACACTTACCTGGAATATGATTGACATCTGTCGAGGTGTGTTCGTGGCAAGCAGAAGGGAGAAAAGAAAGAGAAAGAGAGAAGAGAAAAAAAGCCATTAGAGATGCACACAGCAACTCAGCATCCTTGCATGGAAATCAATTTCATGCAAAACCAGAAGTAATTAGGTTTGTTTGAAGGCCACCCATCTGCATCCAAGCACGCCGCCATGCAAGGGAGGAGGCACTGGCTCCCTCTCCACTGTGCATGTAAGAGCGAATCCACCATCATATCTGTCCGGGGAGAGAGTTCCTGGAATCAGATAGAACCAAGCCACATCAGTTCCTGTAAGAATATTCGTTAAAATATTCTATGTTTTTCACACACACAGATGCAAAAGAGAGAAAGAAAAACCAACCTGCCTGCAGAAGGCTTCTATAGCACATAAATTCAAGCAAGTTTCCAGAAAAATAAAAAGAACCTGCTCCCCTTTTATAAGGGGCCATGTGAATTTATGACCAGGTGTAAGATATACAACATAGTTCCAAAGTCTAGAAGAGAGCCCATTCCTTTCATTCTTTCTGCCCACCATCTTCCACATCCTTCATTGCAGACAGTAGTAGAGGTGGGGGAGGTGTGCCAGAGCTCTGCACATATTATCCTTCTCAAGATGCTAGATTCAAGAAAGTGTCATCTGACCACTTTTTCTCTCTATGGTATAAGACCACTTTTCAGAATCAATCACACAACTTTGAAAATAAATAAGTCCTTCAAAAAGGAAGGAGCAAGACTACGTAATTCATAGTATTGGTAACTTGACAAGAGAAAGCATACATTTAAATGTACTGTCTGTTTTGGGCAGAGCCCACCAATCCCAAAGAAAGTACTTTAGCCAAATGCTTCTCATAACTTTTTTAACATCCCAAGTTTAGTCTTTCTCTGAATAAGCTACACTTATCATAATACCAATAGGGAGAATCCCATGAAATCTCATAGGATTAGATCATTATTTTCCTTACAAGGAAGGCATCAAAAAAAAAAAAAAAAAAAACGAACTTGCTTGTGGAATCAGAGAGGCCAGGTCCATAGACAGCATTCTCCCCTGGAAGCTTGTACCCTTGTCCAGGAGTTGGGAGTGGAGTTATCAGTTTCCAGTAAGGCTTCAAGGAATATAGTAATGATTTGGACTACAGATCCCAGACTACTGCCACAAATCCAGGAGCATGACATACTGAGTGCACTGGCTTCACAATAAGGTCTAAGGCCATCTTCTCCTTCTCCCAGCATGCCCTCCAATTTCCATCAGTATTCCACCTTCCTGTCCAAACCCACTGTGTTCCTGTGAAACTGGCACCACTTGTTCGCCTGAGATACTTGCAATTCACTGGTGAGTGATTCCCATGTGTGCTGCTTTTTGCTTTTCATTTTTTAATGGCTCCAAAACCATTTGAGGAAAAGTCTCTGTGGAACATTATACATATATCAAGCTGTCCTTTCCTAAGGAGGTAACAACCCAAATAAAACAATGCACAAAGAGGGGAGGGACTGTTGCATCAATTCATTTAAATTCCATAGCTTTTACTAAACATATATGTCAGATCTGATGCAGATTATTTGCTGCCTTTCCTCTTTTAGCCCATAATTGCACCTAAGAACCAGTGACTAGGCAGGCCTAGAAGGACACTAAGCACTGAAAGTTCACCTGAAAGTAATTAATTTTAGGTAGGAAAAGCAAACAAGTGTCAGGTAGCAATGCATGCACTGAGGATAGAAAGAAAAAGAAGGTCATAGCAGGGGCAGAAGGAAGGAGAAGACCGTTAAACACCTCTCCAGGATGTGAACATGATGACAAAGAATTTACAAATCCACTGCTAGGAGCAGTCTTCCACTGCTTGGGAAGAACCAGTGGTAGTAAGAGATGATCACGTATCTCAGAAGAGGTAGAAGTGATTACCATAACATACTGCAAATATTTCTTATAATCCAGCATCCACTTGAAATTCTATTCTAAGCAAGTAAAAAGTTCTCAACCCATGTTTTCCTCTCAGCCTCCCTCCACGCCTGACAATGGAGCAGGCACTGCTGCAGTCCAGGCTACCAAGGGGGGCCTGGAACAGCAGGCAGCCTCACCAGGGTGTCTGTGCCCCAGCAGGAAATCTGTGGGGTGGCTGGGAAATAAAAACTATCAGCAGATAGTAAGGGCAAAGGAAAGAGCTAGCCAAGGGTTAGCAAGGGATAAACACACTAAGCAAGTACGAGAAGAGGCAGTGGGCTGCAACTGATACACTGCTCGAAATAATATTTACTTAACTGCACAAGAATTAAATAGGTCACGAAGGTGTTAAAAAGGGAAATGATAAAGTACTAAAAGCTAACATAAGCATCCCTGAAATTTAGTTTCTCAACGGCAAGTAACAGCAAGGAGATTTCTTTTTACCTGTCTTTTTTTTGTGCCAATATCCCTAAGAGCAGGCATGCCCCATCCTGACTTAACGCTTAGGGTTTTTTGCTGTATCTTTTTTTGCAAAGTTTCCATGCAAAATGATTTCCATATACACTAGTTGCACCACTAAAGTCACTGTTTGCATGTCTGTGACACTTCCACAGTACTTAGCTACATGGCAGCCCAGGTAATTAGTGTTACTTCTCATACTAAATACAGAAGGAGTTTCTTGTATTGCAGACACCCCCCCATGTGGTATCTGCTGGCAAATGCTGATTTCAAAATGGTGAAACTACTTGCTTTTTAGTTTAAAAAAACAAGAGAAAGCACTGCTTTCTTTGCAAAGAGAAAAAAAATTACTCATAGCCAGTCAGTTGTCACAAAAGACCCTACATTAAATACCACTGTGGCATACAAGTGAAACTGCCATGCAAGTCACAGAGCCACAAAGCACAGAATAATCTGGGTTAGAAGTGACCCACAGGGATCATCAGGTCCAGCTCCTGGCCCTGCACAGTACCATGCCCAAGAACCACACCATGTGCCTGAGACCTTTGTCCAAATGCTCCTTGAGGTCTGTCAGGCTTGTTGTTGTGACCACTTCCCTGGGGAGCCTGTTCCAGTGCCCAATCACCCCTGGGTGAAAAAAACAGCTTTTTTAATATTAAATATAAGTCCCCTAGGAAACACCATCACACTTTTGCAGTGTGGAATGTTATTCCACTTTGGTTCACAATTAAAACTGTGGTTGCATATATTGACAAAAGGGACCCACCATACCTTATGGCTGGTAGCTCTACAATTAGGAGACATCTAATGCTTCAAGAAAGGTAAATGACAGAGATGGCATACAGCTAGTGTGACCAGAGCTGGGAACCTGAGATGACTCTCCTTCAGACCCTGTCATCTGAGATGTTCTTTCAAATTCTTAGTTTTTCTGTTTTGTTTACAATAGGACTGTTTAAAATATGTCCCCACTCTCTTCCTCTTCCATTAGCACTACCTTCCTCCACCTACACAGACCTCCTCCCTGCCACAGGGACTGAGGAGGTAGAGCATTTCAATGAAAAAGGGAGCATGCAGAACCCACGGCCAACAAAAAAATGCAGTGACCACGGGACTTACTGCCACGTAGATGGAGGTTTCTCCACTTCCTCCAGCTCAGAGCAGTTCAAACACAGAAAGGTCTGCCTCTTCACATAAGACAAGGCAGAGCTTGCTTGATCCTATACACAAGAGTCCATTTATTGCTCCTTTGTAAAGGGCTGAGCCGCAAGCCAGCAGTGTTTGCCTTTGTTCTTTGATGATAATAGTGGTGTTGAAAGAGGGATCAGCAGGACCGCTGCCTTTGTCTGGTGCAGCCCCAGCCATCTATCTGGGTGGGGTGGGAAGGAAGGAGGAGGATGAAGGGGAACAGGGGGAACAAAGCAAATGTTATTATAGCTCAGATCATTTCCATGCCTGTACAGGAAACATCTGAGGTATTTTCACACTAACATTTTTAACACAAAGTTTAGCAAAAAAGGGAAAGTATCATGACAGCACACTTCTCTCTCCAGCTGGAAGACAAGGCCAATGAAGGCACAAGCCCTACCAATACTCATCACCCTGACTTGAAGAGACCTACTTTCATTTCCATCTCTGCAATCCATTCAATCTTGTCCCCTGCTTTGATGTGCTGTGGACACCTGTCTTCTGGCAGCTCAACTGTGAGCAACTGACTGAATTCACAAGTCACAAACAAGCTGGCAGGCAGAAGCATCCTAGGTTAAGTGGAAATAAGCACCTAGAAGTGAATGGCACTAAAGTTCTCCAGCATCCTCTTATCACTCTCACTCTGAACAGCAGTGTACAGAGGACTGGGGAGCAGCCAGAAGCTGGAGAGAGGAGGAAAGCAAAAGCCATAAAACTCAGAGGTATTTTTTTTCATAGGAGACCCACTCCCAAATGGGAGGAAATCCAGCTTTTAAACACAAAAATTACCATACTCTGAAGATTATTCAGATATTGCCACCTAAAACAGCTTTTCTAAAGTAGATTTGGCTCTCATCATTCTGCAAATACAGAAATGGGTATGGGTAGAATCTCACTGACAGAAGCAAGACTGGTTGGAAACTCAGGCACTTAATTTGACATATTATATATATATATATGCATATATATATATATAAACATAAACCATTCAGACCATAGATTGATGCATTTATGGCAGTCAGTGAAATGATTCAAAAGATACATGATGAGCCAGCCTGAGCTCCTGAAGTGTGGTAGTAAGAGATGTTGGTGACTCAGAACTAGGTGATTACTGCCTAAGTGAGTTCTGATGAAACATTTTTAACAATAAGAAAAGCTGCATTTTGGTTCAGCTGGAAACACCTCAAACTGGGAAAAGCAAATTCCTCACTAATTTGATACTTCATCAAACAAAGTGTTAATTTCACATGCTGATTTGGCAAGTGGTCTCATTCTATCCTAATCTGGTCTGTTAAGGCATAAATAAACACAAGGTCCTACTACACCTCCTACAGACTCTTCTTTCTCTTCAGTACGCAGGGGTTCAAAACCATCAGGGAGGGTTACAGCAACTCAAAAACAAATAGCATCTC